GTAAAAGTACCTGATATATAAATTTAGTTGTTAATTTTTTAAAATCTACAGTAATGTTATTCCTATGGGCTATATTTAAGAATTCTAAAAAATTGGAATAACAATATTGATAAAATTTAGGCATATAAAAAGCATGAGGTTGAAGATTAGAAAATAATGAAGAATTGTATTCTCTTAATTGCAGGCCAAGCCAGAACTTAAACCATGAAAACCATTTGACATCCCTACCTAAAATACCATTAACAACGTGCATTATACGAATAGATTTTAATTTAGAAGAGATGTGAATGATTCCAGAACCACCATGAAGCTTACTGGAATACATTACATCCCTTCTTACCGGTTCATTTTTTGATGGCCAAATGAAATTAAAACAGAGACGTTGAACTTTATCTATAAAATTAACTGGAGGAAGTATAATGGAGCACACATACCACAATTTGGACAATGCCATTACGTTACAAATGGTCGATCTGCCGAAAACAGAAAGTGATCTATATTTATAAAAGTTTAACGACTTTTCAATTCTAATAAAAACATTATCCCAAAAGGATGGCACATCACCAAAAGGGATCCCCATCAACTTGCTGCCATCAATCCAGCTTATCCCGAAAGGATGGTCCGATCGGCTAGCCCATTTACCAAAGAAGATACCTTTAGACTTGGATAAATTAAGTTTGGCTCCAGATGCTCTACCGTAGAGCCCACAGATGTCAAAAACTCTCTGGATAGAAGCATCTGAAGCACAAATTATAGTCGTGTCATCGGCATAAGCTGATAATTTGGCAGAGATTGATGAGGAGCCCGGAATGGTGATGCCCACCACTCGAGGGTCATTCCGTACTTTAATTAGGAATGGCTCCAAAGCTAACACATATAGAAGAGGAGAGAGACTGCAGCCTTGTCTTACAGATCTTGTGACTGGAAATGGATTGGAGATATGCTGATTCACAATGACAGACGAATAAATATTACTATATAAAATTTTAATCCATTTTCTGAAATTACTACCAAAATGAAAATGTTCTAAACATGAAAAAAGAAACTCATGCGAAACGCGATCAAAGGCTTTCTCCTGGTCCAGACAGACGAAAGCACAAGGTAAATTTCTCTCCTGAACATAGTCCACCACAGATCTCAACAGGTGACCATTGTCCAAGATTGATCTACCTGGAACAGAACAAGTCTGATCCAGGCCAATGATGTCCTCCAAAACACTACCAAGACGGGTAGCTAAAACTTTGGACAAAATCTTATAATCTATGTTCAGGAGAGAGATAGGTCGCCAATTCTTGACGCTCTCGGGATGTTCTAAATTTTTGCAAATAAGAGTAATGTAAGACAGGCTTTGAGACGGAGATAATGAATTGGATTTAAAAATTAGTTTGTAAAGATGAAAAAGAACATCACCGAGAACGTCAAAATTGGCGAGATAAAACTCTTTGGTCAATCCGTCTGGACCAGGAGACTTGTCACTTTTCATTGCAGAAAGTGCAGAAAAAATTTCACTCTTGGAGATCTCCCCCTCTAGTGAATCCCTAACAGTGTCACCAAGGGAGGGCAGATCTTCCAAGAAGTGAGCCGCATCAGAAAAATAAATGCTATCTTTTTTAAACAGGGAAGAGTAAAATGAAACAAAAGACTGCATGATCGTGCTGTTAGTGGTGCACTGGTGATCACCATCTTCAGTACGGGTAATAGTCTTCCTGGCAGCACGATCATGCTCCTTTCTCAAAAAATATCTGGAGGGGTTTTCCAGCGCTTCCATCGAGTCAGATTTCGACCGAACACGAGCACCGTCAATCTCCGCGTCCTCCAAACAACGATCTGTT